CTTGTCTAATTTGTCAGGGGCAGGGGCATTGGCTGGCTGCTTGACTGGGGAGGGCGGCTGGGACTGCGGCGTCTTTGGCATAGGACGGGAGAGGAGTGAATATACATAAAGGGAATAAATATTTTGGGAGACAATAACCAGATAGGAAGAGTCAAGTTTAGTAAGCCATACATTGAACAGTAAAGAACAGGAATAAAGTTTTGCTTTGCTTGGACTGCCAGAAACTTGTAAAATGTACTATGCAAGTGCTAGCTAATATTCAAAGATCCTTAAAGGAGTATGATCTGTTTTAGTATAGTGAGCTAGAGATATGGGAAACGAGATTTGAGACATTAGTTCAGGTTATTCAGGTCCGGAGTCCAGTCCGGGTCTGGACGAGTCCATCGGTCCGGGAAATTTCTCAAAATGATGGACCCAGGACCAGACCTCTCCTGGACCCATGAGGACCAGACTGTAGAGGACCGGTCCATCAGTCCAGTCCTGCGTCCGGACCGAGTCCGAGCGGTCCGGGACCGGACATCAGCAACTATAGTAGTAGCCATAACATATCTCGTGATTAGTATCTCTTACGGTGTATCCACGTTGTGTCATGATTTCGATTAGTTTTCCGATTAGCAGACCTGATTTCAGTAAATTATGAAGTATGAAGTGATAAGCGTGCAGGGTAAACGCAGTGTCAAACAACCCTGTAGGCACTTGTTTAAGTTGTTTTGGTATGAGCAATATGCATCATGACTTTATGCACACAACGTCGTGATGACAGTCTGCTGCTTTACGTTGCACATGAATACACCGAGGCTTGGCCAGGCCTTGCTATGCCATTCTCATTCTGCACACTTTCCATCGTTTTGCTGATTGACGATGTTCTGCTGAGATACATCGTGGATCCCGACCATGATAAAGAAACACTTGAACTAGCAAAGTCCAGTGAGCAACACTCAAAAATAGACATTGTGCGTGAAAATTTATTCGTGCAATCAAAGCTATCGACGGTACATGAAAATGGGACATAAGAAAATTATCAGAAGATCATTGAAACATTAACCTTGAAATTGCAAAATTGAACAAGACCCATCAAAAGTGGTCAACGATAAAGACCCAAGTCCCCGTCTCAGGGTCAAAAGATTCGAATTGTGTGCGTTTCATAATCTGCAGCCTCCGTTTCTGCTTTATGAAGGCCGGATGTTTAGGATCCTTAATAGGTTCACCGGTTGCTTTGTCCCTGGGCAAACAACCATGGAGCGTAACGCGTGTACGAACGTTGAGGCCTTCACCAACTCGAGGTTTCTCAATCTCGACCAGAGTCGACTCTGGATACACGGTGAGTTCTTGCTTGTCCATTTGTATGATCTTTCCAAGAAGATCCTGCAGCTTTGGTAGCGTAGTCAAGTCTACCGGTTGCAGGAATTGGATTTCTCCGTGTCCTTTGCGACCGACTACGAGTCCTTCAAATGACGACAACTCCTGGTTACTCAATTTACGTAGCACGTCGAGAGGTGGTTTGACATAATAATCACCGTCCTGTAATTCTGACGCGTCCTTCTCGGCAGACGAGGATTTTCGTTGTGGGGGTGGGGCAGTTGGCAACGGCGGGGGTGGCATTGAGCTAGCTTCTTTCTCGCGCGAGGCAATACTAATCGCAGGATTAAACTCCACTTTCGAGGAAGCAGAAGCAGATCTCGAACGACCAAAGACGTCACTTGGTTCGATTTTCTTGTGGAGAACAAGTTTCTTCGGGCTAGATTTGCCGTCACTGCCTAGTGATGGACCACTCGTGAAGGCATCTGCACCAAGCAGGCTCCTGCTATCGCCCCTGCTGAGCGCGAGGTTGCCGGCGTTCTTTGACGATGCCAGTGATGATTGGAGTCCGCCGTATCTATTCAGACCTGCTGCGGATAATGAAGCACCGAAGCCGCGTAGCTTCCCTCCATTCGTCAGCCGAGCATTCGATATACCAAGTGGAGTGCGTGTAGGAATATCAGCGAAGAAGTTCGACATCTTCTTCGGCGGAGGAGCGAAGGAAGCAGGTTGTTCTTTGTTGTTCAACAAGCTGAAGATAGGCAAGTTTTCTTGGACCGGCTGGGCAATCGAAGCAGTCAATGAACCTTGTCCTCCGCCAGTACCAACAGCGGATTGCCCAAATCCCCCACCAGTACCACCTAATGCACTGGCACCGAACAGTGAGCTACCCAACCCGGTAGAAGCTGGTTGCGCAGTTGATTGACCAAAAGCATTTGTTGTTGGAGGCTTTTGGCCGAACAACGATGACCCACCAAACGCAGTTGTTCCTGGGGCTGGCTGAGTGGTTGACTGCCCAAATGGCTGACCAAATAATCCTGTAGAAGGCTGCGTAGAGCCAGAACCTGCCGCTTGATTGTTCGTTCCACCGAACAGCCCGAATCCTGCAAGATTATAAGCCACTTCACAATCACCTTCCTGGAAGAAAGTCTAGCGTACCTGTTGGCTTATTCTGATTATTATTTCCGAAGAGACCCGTTCCTGTCGTTCCAGTACCAAACAAGCCGGTTGAAGGCTGAGGGGCGGGTTGCCCGAAAACTAGAATTGTCCTAATGTCAGGATATTCTATCCATGAATCTAAGGAGCCACACTTACGACCAGTCGACGGCTGCGTGCCACCTTGTTGACCTTGCTGGCCCTGTTGCTGTTGGTTGTTTTGACCAAACAGACCTGTCCCTGTTCCAGTCGTACCACTACCAAAGAGGCCGGTTGATGGTTGTTGGCCTTGTGGTTGGTTTTGCTGCTGTTGTTGTTGCTGGTTATTCTGGCCAAAAAGACTGAAACCGGTAGACGCTGGCTGCTGCGCAGCAGGTTGTCCAAATGCGGGTTTATTTGCATTCGCACCTTGAAACAGATTAGTTGTCCAACATGGTTGTGAGCAATATACAACTTACCAAAGGAGCCAAATGCAGATGAACCCTGGTTTTGATTGGCGGGCTGACCGAATAATCCGGTAGTAGGTTGTCCTGCAGGCTGGTTTGTACTTTGTCCAAACAAGCCTCCACCTCCACCTCCGCTTCCAAAGCCAGTTGTACCCGAGGTCTGACCAAAAGCACCAAACGGCTTCGGCTGATTGGACTGGCCGAATGCACCAAATGCGGATCCAGTCTGCTGCTGCTGATTACTTTGTCCGAATGCACCTCCTCCACCAAACAAGCCTGTCCCACTCGGCTGCTGCTGCGGTTGTTGTGTGTTCTGCCCAAATGAGCCAAAAGCCCCAGTACTGGTGCCTGTGCCAAATGCTGGCGGCTGCGTCGTAGCGGGCTGTCCAAAAGATCCGAAAGTAGTAGACGGCTGCGTTGAGGACTGTTGACTGTTCTGACCAAAGGAACCAAAGGTACTCGTGTTTGCGGCGGGTTGACCGAAGGTAGTAGACGTCGACTGTGAAGGTGCTAATCCAAAAGTCGCAGATTGACCAAAGCTGCCTGCCGTCTTGCGTCCTTGCGCATAATCTTGGACACGAATTTCCTAGAAAGATGTACTGAGTTAGGCATGTATGTGTAAGGAAGTACGGTTGAAGTTGTATACCTCAAACGAGGTCCCGCGGTACGCAGGCATCGTGCTGATGCTTTGGTAATTCAGAGTGATATTTGGTGTATTTGCATCTTTCTCCGAAAAAACAGAGTAGGGAGGATTGGCGGAACCCGTAGTCACTGGTGGAACGCTCCCATCGGCTGTGGTTATGGTTGGACCTGACAAACAAAGTTGAATGTGTAGAGTCAGTTCACCTCTTCAAGCAGTATACACATCGAGGGCAAAGAATTTCAGACGAATGGATAAATGCTTATGTTGGTCGTACCTGTCGATGTGCTTCCAAACCCAGTAGTCGGAGCCGCAGGCTTCTGACCGAATAAACCCGTTCCCGTCCCACCAAACGCGCTTGTCCCTCCCGCAGGCTGACCAAATGCAGACGTACCACTTGGGTTCGTCTGCCCGAACGTCCCTCCACTTCCAAATGCCGAGGTGCCACTGGTACCACCGCCTCCAAACGCTCCAAATGCCGGGGGCTTCGGTGCGCCAAACGCAGATGTCCCTCCACCACCGAAAGAACCTAGGATGCTATTAGTCTCACCGCCTTAAGAGAATATTATTCAGTTAAAGACACTGACCAAAGGCCGCTCCAGTGCTTGATGGATTCGATGTACTACTTCCAAACATCGGATTCACAGTCGGCTGTTGGGTGTTTTGACCAAAGGCTCCACCCCCAAAGCCTGTTGTCAATGAGGATCCAGGGAGAAGGGGGAGATCACGAGTCCGGCATGATAGTGTATATTATATATGTAAGGCGAATCAGAACAAAGCACGAGAAACACGTAGTCAGCATGACTTGGACGCGTTGTCGCGAAAGATCAACAAGACGCACCGCCAGTCGCACCCGAACCGAAAGCATTCGGCTGCTGCTGCTGCCCAAATGCTGACGTTCCAGGTTGTGGTTGATTTTGTTGTTGTTGTTGCTGCTGCTGTTGCTGCTGCTGCTGATTTTGCTGACCCCAAGAGCCGCCAAACATTTTTGCTTGTTCGTCGTGGACGACGCTGAGCAGCGAGTGACTCTGCACACGCGCTTCGTGTTTATACAAAATCGGCAGTCGTGGGAAGTATTAGTCAGCGAGGCTCGGCCTTGCTGTGGGTAAAGTGACTCGCGTTCCGTCTTGACTTGATTCTTGGTTCTTGACTCCTCGTCCTCGAGTGCTGCCTGCTTTCCCGTTACTTAAAGCTAGATTGATATGCATAGACACACTGGCTCTATGATGCTATCGAGAACTGGGTCCTTCATGGTTTGACCCCTCGGACGCACGAACTTGGTTTAACAAACTCATGTTCTCATCGCCAGCCGCGCTATTCGTTATATCCTATTCTTGATCTTGTGACACGCTCTCCTGGGATGTCATCATCAGTGACTCATGCATGTCGGATTGAAGCACCTAAGTTGCATCTACCAGACGTCTATGTATATTTGCATCAAATCCTTCTCCTAAAACTTTGCTTATAGGCCTCGGCATTTACTTTCAGCAAGATCGGTTCGCGGCCCTGTGAAGCCATCGCAGCATGATGCGCTAGTACTCGCCGTCCCTCAACAGAGGCTGGGAGTCTAATAATTGCATCTGCAGAAAATTTCTGTATAACTTTCAACTGTGTTCTCTGCCTGAAGGGGCCAGCTAGATCCCGGCAATTATGAAGCTCCACAACAACCATTCAATGAAGCCCAATCCTTAAGTTCTATCCTGATGATATTATGGCGGAGATACCGATGTTTGCTGATTTGAAGGGGAATTGGATGAACAAAAGCTTACCCAATGACCCGCTGAGCGCGCAGGTCAGGTTTTTTTCTAAAAGATTAATTGAACTCAGTCTCCGAGATGCATCAAGTTACTGGTATTCAGGTCTCGCTAGCTGACTCAGGGACGATGGTAACGTGTTGGGAGTGCCTTTGTTTGGACCCGAAGTTTCAATAATATTCGACAAAGGAAGATGTTGCTCGTCCTGATCAAATTTCATCCGGCCACCTACCCAAGTTTGTATTCAGGAATATCGTGTGCCTATAGTCTTTCCATGCTAGCGAATAAACAGTGAAACCTGCCACAACCCGGCAAGGAGATTTCTGCCATTCTATTCTCATTCTTCATGAAGTGCTTGAGCTCGGTTTTTTGAGACCTACATAGCAGCTGATCAGCAATGGTTTATTGTCTTCGGAGTATGCAGCAGGTCTATTGAAATACTGCATATCTGATCACCTCTATCTGATCACACTACACCACAATGGTAATGGAATGTTTCATCCGTGGATAGCCCAGCATGAGCTCCGTTGATCAAGATGAACGAACGATTGCAGACCAGATTCCCAAAGCATTTTCATTACTAGTATGTGTACGTACATGAATTCCTTCTTTCACATTCGCGGTGAGCGCTTTCGCTAACGCGCTTACTGCTATTACGCTTCTCACAGAAATCATGCTACGAGTTCTCCGTCGATGCCTCATGGAGGCAGTGCACAGAGCGGGGATTTCGTCATATTCATATCCGGACAGGAGTTCAAACAAAAATGATTTACGCCCCTGTACTCAGTCAGTACGTTCATGTGGAGATTACGTGATGATCTGTATCATCATTCGCTTGGGCGCTCCGCATTACGAGAAAATTAATTTTGTGGTAGACCTTGTGTGGTGGATAGTAATTGTAAATTCATGGTCAAGAAGCATTATTCGCACCTCGCCCACCCCTAGGATACTAGGTCCTCTTTAGCATAGCTCAAGTTATTTATTTTACATGCTATTCGTTTCAATTTTCAAGACTCCTGTAAAACACCAGATCACCGCAATGAAGCTCCCCGGTAGTTATAGATACATACGTCATGCATTATACAGTGGCTATTCTGTTTAACGCCTTGACTCTTCGCAACAGCGTTCTATAATTCAGTCTCCTTGCCAAGAGAGTTGTAACGATACAAAAGAAAAGAATTGTTAGAAGTTAGAAGCTACGGAGGACTTCGCATTTCTGTTCAATAGCTTCGGGAATCGTTCGTGTTCTTGACTATGCGGTATCTCGTGAAGGCCATTTGACTGCAAGTGAATTCTTTCACACCACAGAGGTCACGGAACTCTCAGCGGCTTTTCGTGATTGTATTGGCGAATCTTCGGTTTCTAGACAGGGACAATTAGCAAACATAACAGATTGCAATCTAGTACACACGCTTTGAAGAGTGCCGCGGTTTACTAGGACTAGGAAATATACAGGATCGAAAGAAATGTGTATTCCGTTGACAATCGGACTATCGGCACGAGTGTCCATGGGTGACCAAATCTTTACCATGATCATATGCTATACCTCTTATGCATTATCTCGCGTGTTTGATTACTGCCTACGAGTAATGGCAGGTCTCTCGACGATCACTCATCGGGTGGTTGATAATATAAACAGAATTGCGAGACATGTATAGAGATAACAACTGGTGTGAGACTGTAAGGCAGAAGACTGCCAGGATCTGTTCTTTTTCGACATTATATACATTCTTTACAAATTACACAGATTCAGGCGGGGGCTACTGAGGCAAACAGAGACTTCGGGATGAAACTGCAGGGGCGCCCAAATGTACATACTGTCGCGGCGCCCCTTGCGGGCCAGACCCACATGTGGGCCATTTTACTATTCCTCCCCCAAATTTTGCTCAAACCTCATAAAAATTTGTAGATATGTAGCTAAACATCTAATAAATATATATCTAAAAATTTGAGACGGAATAATGAGCAGTAAAAAAGTTATTATACTTACAATCTGAAGAGTATGAAAAATTACACTTTTGGAGTGAACCAAGCTCTTTCCCACACAATTAATACACTATATTAATTCAAGGTATTATTATTTCAAGCTGTAATTTTGTAAACTTGTGTATTAGTATGTTTTTTGTTGATATTAATTTTTGTAGAAGTTTCTGTGCAGTTTTAAGTAAGTTATAAGAAGAATCGCTAATAGTATGATTTTAACAGATTAGAATATACAAATTTACTAATCTCTGTCTTTATAATTTTTATACTCGATTCTACTATTAGGACTAGTAAAATAAAGTTGATATTTATAATTATATACATTAGAGGTATATATTTACCAAAAATTATAACTTAAACTTAATTACTTCAATTTATATTATGTTATTATTTTTATAACTATAAAAATTATAATTATAATAAGTATTAGTAGTAAAACTACTGTTATTATCAAAAAAAAACATGTGTCCATCCCTCATGATAGATATAATAAAGTATTGAAAAGTAGTATAGTTATGATAACAGAAAGAGAAGGAATGTGAGCTTGAAGTAAAGGAGAAAGAGCTTGATTAGTATTAAAGTAAAATA